TTCACCAGGTGTTTGATAATTCGTGTAGCTGCTCAAGTCACAACTTACCTGGGCTAATCTCTGCTGACTGTCTGCATCCCCTGGTGCAGCCAGGGCCTGCTTCGCCTCCTGAATGAGCATAGCAGAGCCTTCCATGACATCCCTTGCTGAATCCAACATGGCATGTGCTGCCACAGGGTCCGTAGTAGATGCTGCTACGCCTCGTGCTGCCTGAGCCAAAGTCTTCAAAGCCTGAGCAGTTTCTCTGGCAGCAACTCCTATGTTCAGATTTCATCAAGGATTCTATTAGTACTCTTAAAGATGATCTTCGTATTTTATGGCAGATGAATTTGAAAGTAACAATCCCATTGCAAAATAACATTGCAAATGCAGTTTAAAAGAAAATCTTCAAACATGAACATATTTGAAGTACACAGCACCACTGGCCTAGAGAAATGCCTCTAGTTAAGCCACAAAGTAGATATTATACCCCAAATACCATGTTCTGGGCACAGCTCTACATTAGTGATTAAATGGTAGTAAAGCAGTAAAAAAGAAGATAACCTAAAACCTGGAAATGAGGAAAAACTAGTACTCCAAGCTATAGAGGAAAATCATTGTCCACAAGAACGGCATACATGACTTCAGAGCCACAGTGTCTCTGCCCTTTCTGAAAATGCAACTTTGGATTTTTCAGAGAATAAACACAGCAACACCTTAAGTTCAAGCAATTTAAAAAATTTAAGAGAGATCACTAGGGATGATACAACTTAACATCACTATGAGTACAAGCACATAAAAATAACCAAATGAAATCACAGAGAGGATGTCATGAAATTAGTTTCTTTGGTTTGTCTGGCCAACATTACAGGACATTCATCAGCTCTAACGCTAAGGCACACAACTGTGTGAAAAATGGTCCCATTCTTCCATTTTTGAAATTTAATCCAGCCCTTAATGAAAACCAATATAAAAGTCTTAAAGATCTTGATTAGCACAGTCTAGTCAACACCACATGCAATTAACGTAGGTGGTACAGTTTGAGTGATAATGTTAAACTCGTGCGATTTCTACCAAAAGAAAGTCACAGAAAAAGTTCACATTTGCTGTACAACACCTCTTGGTTATCCATATTTTGGCATTAAAAAGAATTAGAGTGTTCTAATGTCCCTATTGGAAATGTTTATAAAGCTAGGACATCATAACCAAATACAAGCCACAAAGTAGCCACATTACCATTTTAACACCAATGTCTTTTAACATTTTCTCTTCTAATCAACTGAACATCTTTAAATGCAGAAATTTTATAAGAAAATGAAAAGCAAATGATATTACATGTCAGCGTAAAGCCAAGCTAGGTAGAGAAACAGCACTGCCTATGTTGCAGTTACAACATAAGAAGGACATGGAGCTGTTGGAGCAGGTCCAGAGGAGGGCCATAAAGCTGATCAGAGGGCTGGAGCACTTCCCTTATGAGGACTGACAGAGGGAGTTGGGGCTGTTCAGCCTGGAGAAGAGAAGGCTCCAGGGGGACCTTATTGCAGCATTCCAGTTCCTGAAGGGGTCCTACAGGAAAGCTGGGGAGAGACTTTTACAAAGGCAGGTAGCAAAAGAACAAGGGGGTATGGTTTTGAACTGGAAGAGGGCAGATTTAGGATAGATACTAGGAAGAAAGTCTTTACTGTGAGGGTGGTGAGGCACTGGCACAGGTTGCTCAGAGAAGTTGTGGATGCCCCCTCCCTGGAAGTGTTCAAGGCCAGGTTGGACAGGGCTTTGGGCAACCTGGTCTGGTGGGAGGTGTCCCTGCCCATGGCAGGGGGGTTGGACTGGATGAGCTTTAAGGTCCCTTCCAACCCAAACCACTCTATGATTCTAATCTATTTGACAAACCACAGAGGGCTTTCTACATTCTTAATTTAAAGAAAATTTTAGGAAAAGTACCCACACATTTTGTTTCCTTTATTTAGAGTACCAATAAGCATCTTTTAAGTTTGACTTATTTATCACAGTACCACAAAATAAAAAGGTCTGGTTGCTTTGCTTTCAATTTGGTGCTGCTTTCATTCTCTACAAAGACTTTCAGTACAAACTGAAAAGAAACTTACTGTGACAGTTGCAGTCAAGAGGGAATTATTAAATAGTGAATATAAGCTGCAAAGAATTTTTATCACATAGAAACAGCAGAATGTTATAATGCCTGCAAACACTCAGTGCTTGCTTAAGGACACAACAGTTTTTGCGTAACAAGATGTTATGAGATAAAAAATAGTAATATGAGTTTTGAAAAAGAATTCCTTGCTTTGCGGGATTTTCCAACTAAACAGCTCTCATAGCTTGATGTTAAGAGAGCTACTGGATTCAGTTATTCAGTAACAGCTGCAAGTATCTGTACTCCTTCACTAGATCCCCAGTGCTAACTGTGATAGAAACATGAGGCATTTTAACGTAATTACATCTGCTTCAAATGAAGGCAACTCTGTGTTATGTAGCCCTGATGCAACTATATCCAATGAAGTGGTAATTGCCACACTGCATTTTATCAGTAATATTTAAAAAAAATCCTACAGTAGCATTTGAATCAACAGCTTTCATTTCTTACAGAAGAGACAGAATATTTTACAGAATATTTTACTATCTAAGAGTAAGCCTTGCCCTGTCCTGCCCCTGCAAGGAGCATTTTCCTTATTAAGTTGTTTTTCGGTTTCTAAAAGTACAGGTACAAAAACAAATCGCAGAATCCGTGTGCCCACATTTCCTGTTGGTTTAACTCAAACTATGCATATAAGATCAAATGATCAGGGAGACAAGCTGCATTATACATGTAAACTGGTAGCATCTAGTAAGAGATGTAGTTTTAAATGTCACCAAGCTATCCCAAGTATATTTGCATCTTGTGCTTCAAAAAATATCCAAAGATCCTTTTAACCTTCTGAAAGTTCATAGCAACATTTCCAGTGGCACTGACTTCTAAATCACATTACATTTTAGTTCTGTCCTTCACAAGTTTTTAGTGGCATCTATCTACAAAAACAACAGATGTCTCAATCTATTCTGATTCTATACCTGCAGCAGATTGCCACAGTATTCTTTTATGAAGCACATTATTAACACTAGCAATTCCTAGTAACTTGCCACAGTTCACTATCAGCATACAAAAAAATACCCCAAAAAAACACCAAAAGAGAAGTGACTTACTTGATTTAAGTAGACTGTAACAAGAAAACCTTCTATCAAGTATTTTATGAAAAGCAGAGGTTTCACAGAGACATTATGAATAAAACACTACCTGTATAGTGCTCGTTGCCTTGAGCAGCACAAGTTAACAACTGGGCCATTGATGAACCAACTGCTTTGGATGTACTTCCCAGGTCTTGAGCACATTTCTCAAGCTGTCAAAAATTGCAAAGGACAAAATTCTTTGTTTAAGCTCAACTAAAACACACTCATTCTTAAAACAGCTTTAAAAGATTCCTCATTCCACAAAAATCAAACTTTTACCTCAGCTACTGAACACACACACACAGTCTCTCTGAAACCTAGTATGTTTTTCCTGCCCAGGGTGAAATAGATTAACATACTAGATAATATGAACAACAGAACTGTTTTATAATTAGCACTGGAAATCAATACCTTCATCTGAGAAGGAGATTTTTGCTAAATAAAACATTTCACTTTCTAAGCCTATCAGGACTGGTCAGTTTTAGAACTATCGAGTTCTCATCTTTGTCACTATTGGAAAGAAATTCTTTTTGACCAAAAACCCACAACCACCCAATGTTGCTGCTACTACATTGTAACAGTACAATAAAGGAGGCGGCCTTACAGTCCTATGAATAGTTCTGCTACAGAACATGCTTCTGGTGTAGTAGGAATATATAGTCTTTTTAAGAGAATTAGTGCACAATCCTACCAGTCTTATCATTATCCAAAGTCTCACAACTTGTTTTGTCTGTAATACTAAAAATTTTTTAACAGCTAACTTTGTTTGGTTTTAAATGAAGAACACCCTTCTTCAATTACAGTTTCTCCTGGTAGAGGTTTTAACTGTCCTTCCACAGCTGCCATCTTCGCATCTTGTAGTTCATTTTTGAGTGTCTGGACTGTATTCAAAGCAGAATCAATTTCCATTGGGCCACATGCTTCATGAGCCTATTCAGAAATCAAATCAATATCACTGTTAGCAGCTGCAAGCTATTATCAGAAACAGTAAATGCTTCATATAAATCTTCCCCTCCCAAATTCTCGCTCTCATGACTTTAGAGGCCACTGTGGGCACTTTAAGTGTTACACATCACGGATTCCAAACTCCTGCTCAATATTCTTAGCTTGTAAATAGAACAACACACCATTAAGAGCCACCAGGGGCTGAGAAAATAACTGCTGCAGTCTGGACTTCACCTCTGACAAACAGCCTAACTATGCATCGTGACTAATGTCACACTGAACCCTCTGATGTGGCAGCCCACAGTCATTAGTACCTCAGCTAGAAATTTTAATGTTAGCTCTGGTGTAGCCACTACAGTGTATGCACACAGAAGAGCAGACTTCTCACTGATATTTTTAAACCCATACATAGTTTCAAAATCTGTGCATGGAACACAGATAGTCTCCTCTTCCCTGAATTTTAGAGATGGTAGCTCCAATTCACAATCAGAACACTAAGCACAAGAGTGCCACATCTGAGTTCTCCCAAGCTTGGTAGGTGCACGAGAGATGTGTCCCTTTCCCTGCTTGCTTTCAGATGTAACAGCAGCTCAGAGTTTTGCTGCACTGCTCTGTGTACTTCCTCTTCCTTTCTTTCTGATATGGACAGAGTAGCACAAGCTTTTCAGTTTTCTTATCACTTCTTCCTCCCCTTTCTATTATGACACAGAAGCCACCTGGGAGTTTGAGCAAACTGCACAAAAAGCAACACTGAGAAGTGAATGCTGCCCACACACGAGCCATTCCCTTGTGAGAGACAGTGGGCCAAGCAAGAGTGAGCCTGTGACCGCCATCCAAGCCATCTTGCTCCAGCTGATCAAAACTCATATTCACTTACCTTTTGGGAGGCGGTTCGTAGCTCAGCTAAGCTGGTAGCAAGGTTCTTCGCACACTGACTTAGCTGCATTGCTGCTGCTTGATCGGTCACAGTGGGCACTGCAGCTTTAGCAGATGCCACCATTTTACTTCCAGGCTGTTCAAAGAGCAGTGAACATAATTGGTTTTACTAGTTCATTCTCTTTAAAGAGGAGTTAGGACTCAATGAACAAAATGCTTCCTTCATTCACACGCTCATGAGGTTTCCAAATCTTCTGTAATGATCATTTCATGCACTTTCCTTCTCTTTACCCATGCACCTTGTAGATTTCAGCCTTTTAATCATATGCTGCACCCTGACATAATTCTACATTGCAGTGTCCTCTGCAGCAGGACTCATTTGTGCTTTACACTGACTACTTCATTGGTACCAGTGTCTGGTTGAGGCCTTTGAGTACCCACGTAGGCTGCTTAAAAATGTTTAAATGTGCAGTATTCCCATTCAGCATCTTTGCAGTACAAGCAAGTCCAGGTAGCACACATAGCAAATTTGTCTCAATGTTTCTAAAAATTAAACTGTGCCGAAATTCTAGAAATTGAAAACGGTAATTCAAGCAATGACACTTCACAGAGTTTTCTGCTAATACAATTGCTAATCTTCATCTCCATGGTACACACATACAGCCAGAGAGGTGATAGATCATTTTAATGACTCCTGAGGGAATCAGGTAGCAAAATACTCAGAGTGAGAGCATTGTTTGCAATACCTCTGCCTACATGGGTCCATAAAAAAACCTGCTAATAGCAGCCAATAAAAGCGTTCATTTCCATTCCACATTTAAGGCAGGACTAACAAACTCCAAGATAATGTACTACACAGAGAATTGGTTTCTTCTGTTTGTTTCTTGTAATGTCAATAATAAACAAAATAGTTTTGTTATCAGTGCTCAGTATTTTACTATTTTTAAGATGTTTTTGAAGAAGCATGGAGTCAAATCTTGCATTTTGTTTAAAAATTCCATCAAGACTCATTACTTATGCAGGCTAGTATCTAAAAAAGCCCCATGATAATGTTCCCTTTTATTTGTGAAGAATTCTGGAGCTTGTTGCTGCAACACTAACTTTACTTTCACCAAGAAAGGTTACAACAGCATCTTACATATTCAGATATCTCCTGAGAAAGATGCTGAATTCTCTCTATCTTGCTCTTTAAACTCTTTTCAAGAAGGCAAGTGCCACAGCAGTGAATGTTTCTTCTCCATAAACTTTAGTTTTCTTGTCACTTTTACACTCAATTTTGGGAGTTTTCACTCTCCACAGATTCAACATACTTCAGCCATCCAACCCGAGGAACTAAATTCTACTTAGCTATGGGTCACAGTCAGTGAGGAACTTCTTTATATGGTTCTTAACAGTTTACTGCTTATTTATCACAAATAAAAACATACAGCACAAAAAACCAGAGGTTTTTGCTCTCATGGAGTCTACTACAGTGACTGATTCACTTCACCTGAAGGAAGTTCTGGCTGGAGTTTATTAAAGCAAGCTGGGCACTAAGGTCTTCTGCCTGAGCTTGACTTCCTCTTACACCCTGCACCAGTTGAGGAATGTGGTCTGCAACATTCTGTAATAAACAAAGGGAGAATTTTATAGTAGAGAAAGAAAAACTCCAAACCCTCTGACACTAAAGCAAGCCCTCTCCCCACCCACCTTAAATATAACTTGTAGAGTTATAAATTTGTTCAGGATTCCATGGAACAGAATTCATACACAATAATATTTTTCAGAGACATTCTACTTTTACTTAGGAAATCCTTATTCAAGCTACTCATTAGTTTAAAAATCCTACAGGACAGTCTAAGATTCTTCTGCAAGGTTACATACACAAAGTATTTTGAATTACTTCCTTTGCACATTTAAATGCCAGCAGTGGAGGTGACATTTTTCAAGAGAATGCCTTCCTTCCACAATAACACTGTCTTTTACAGACGAGGACCTCAGCCTACTTTTCTTTGACTCTTAACAACACAAAATTTATAGTCTGTCTGGAGCGTTCTGAAGTGTGCATTGCTAAAACTTCATTCCTGGACTGCCTAGATTCATCCTTGTCCATCCAATAACACTTACTTCAGTAGCGCAATTCTAATTCCTCCTCTACCTCCACCACCCCTCCAAAAAAGTAAGTATCAGATCTCCTCTGCTATCTAATAAGTCATCATCAAGATCAAACTAGAGTGACATGTAAACAATACAGCAATTCAGCTTTTTTTTTTGTAATTCATACTGAAATAGCAGCTGCCTACAAGACAGTCTTGAGATGTACTTGAGCTGCCTTATTTAATTCCAACACTACTCAGGAGTACTACCATGACAAGAAATAATTGCTGAATGTTAATATGGCTTTTAATGGTGCCTTCTTTAAAGGTTTTTGTTCCCATTCCCCACATAACTGCTCTTCAATTCAGAAGAAAACTCTTTTGCACTCTACTGTTTTTTAAAATTTTTTGTTTAAATGCAATTTCTTTAAAAAATCCTGAAGCAACATTAGTCAGAGCGAGAAATTAAGCTGCCAAATGTAGCTTAAACACAACAGAGAACAGATTCTTAGTAGACTCTCAGTTCTAGCTTGGAACTATAAAAGTCTACTTGACTTCAGGCTTAGCTTGAAATCTGTGGTCTTGGCAGCTTTAACTTCAAACTATGAATCATGTTAACCCCATAATAAGGTCTATAACTTTTTTTTTTTTTACAGTGACATTTAAGGCCCTTCGTGCTTGTAGGCTGAACATCAGAATAGCAGGATCAGTGTTGTTAGTTATATAATTAATTGTATAAGTCACACGTTAAATAAGGACTTCACTCCATTACAGTATAAATCATTCTTGCTACTCTCTCCTTCATCATGGAAAATTCAAAAGTTGCTTTATTCCATAGCAGACCTCAGCTCCATTTCACTGCATGTATCATTCAACAACTTGTTTGGATGATCATAGAGCTACTCACCTGCTAAAGAGCAAACTCATGCACTACCAATACTTGATGCCAGTGTACAAATTTCCGAGCAACTGGACCACTCTGCAGAGTGCTTCTAGCATACCTCTGCATATACAGTACTGCTGACTGATTTGCAGCAGAACTTTTACTCAAGCACTTTCTTCAGATGAATTGGTTGTTACTCAACATATACATAAGCCTGTCCATCCTTCCTAGTTAGGTGTTTGCAGGGGTACTTGTAACAAGCAAGTACTACATGGCACTTAGCCATACTCAGCTTTTCAAAGCCCTCCATGCAGGAGTACATGGCAGTGATGGATAATACAACAAATGAGGGTTCTCCAGAATCCATACAGATGAATGTGTGAGGTGCTGGTTTTGGTTGCGAGTTGTTTTTGTTTGTTTGTTTGTTTAAATATTCTTTTGAGTTTGCAATGGTATTATTATGGAAGGTGATCTTCAGCTCCCCATTAAGCAGAGTTTGAGAGTTAGTTATCAGTGGGTTGTGATATGTTTACCTTACAGCTCTGCACAAGTTGCTGGTGGGCTGCTGCATTCTTATTTGAAATGGCTGCATTCTGAGAAGCTGCAATAGTCTGAGTAGCAGCAGCTGCAGCTTGTTTAGCTGCAATCTTCGGAGAAAAAGAAACAAGAGTTATAGAAGTGGTAAAAATCTGAGTAATTAAGAAGATGAAATACATGTTATAGGTAACTGACAGATCAATACATTATATCCCTTGATTAATTTTATTTGTCCTAAGGAAACGCAGGATTGCTCTTCACTCAAGATGAAAATGAGCTGAACACTCTTATCCATCCCTAACTTGCCAATGAAGGAAAAAGGTGGAACTAGAAGAGATTTCAAGCTCTTACTCCTTCATAGCTCGTGTTACAATATGACCAGAAATCAATTACAAAGTGCAGAAACGGTCTCCTTTATCTCATGAACTCAATTATCTCTTTACAAAGAAGGCCAGAGAAAACATGAAAAGAACATACAGTGCTTCACACTGCTACATTAACACCTCTGACCAAAGACTCAAGAAAGCCAACCTCTGCCGAGATTACTCTATGGCAAAAGCAAAGATACTAAAATGATGGAGACGTACAAAATACTGGTACTACTAAAAGCACTGAGAAGGCCTCCTTCAAATATCTAGGAGTCTTACTATCAACTTCTCTCTATCACAAAATTAAGAATTCAACAATTTATCTAAGATATTCCAACATGTTGTACAACACTTTACTTGGCCCACAAAAATCAAGTATCAGGTTCATTCTCATCATTACACATTTCACTCCTTTGTAAGGCAGTATATGTTATCACAGAAAAACAAGTCTTTTCTATAAAGCTTCCGTGCATACGGTTAGAAAATTGAGACTTCAGCCTTTTTTTCCTGAAATACTCCTTATTTTTGGTTCTAGCAAGATACAGTAATTTAAATGCACTTCTGGAACACAGTTACCTACATAGATCAACTTGTTTGCCTAATCTCATTGCACTTGAATCAGACTACTATAAAACCACAGTTGGCAACTAGGAATAATGAAAGGCTGCTTATTTTTAATCTGTCTTTTCTACATCTTAGTTAAGAATGGGAAGATAACCCTTGCCTAAAAGACAAACTTCAGAGATATTTTATCCTTAGTGCACAGTAAATTGCCTTTCTGCCCCTTGGCTGCGCTACCAACTATGATGTATTGTTTCCCTTCTGTTTCTGCTTTTTTGGCTCTTTGTATAACTTACCAGTTTAATTGGATATAGTGCGTTTCAATATATCTTTGTATGGAAATTTACATGAAACTCTGGCAGATACACTAGTAAAACCACCAAAAGATATTGTGTGTAAATGACAGGTCAGATAGATAAACTAAAACAGTAATGAAGTCATTTCAGCTCAGCTGTTTGAAACCTCAGCTGTCTTAATTTTGTGACTAAGCCACCATCAAATGCCTTCTGAGTCAAATTCTTATACCAGCTTACTACATCAGTGATACAAGTTTCTCAATTTTCTGAGGATTATGGTATCATATGCTAGCATCTCTAATTCCAAGCCTTGTACTCTGGAACTGACCTTACTTTGCTACCATTCTATGCTCAGCACTTTTCCTGAAATATGCATTTCTACTTGCTTGAAATTATCTACATATACTAATTATCAAAATGGAGTAAAATGAAAATTCAACAATATCTAGTTTCCAACCTCTAATCTGTTGACAATTTTCTTCTTGATGGCATTCTGTGCAGCAGCATTTGTAGCAACCCGCAGTCCCTCTGCTGCTTCTCTTAGACGCTGCTGTTGATCCTCATTTTCAGGATTGGCTGCAGCTCCCTGCACAAAATTTCAAACCAAGAAACCATGAGCCTCAGTAAAAGCTCCTGGAGTAAATGTAGACAAATATTAAGGCTTTAGTTGCAGACAGTGTCTCTACATCAGTCTCATTTTCCCTATATTATCTTAACCAAAGTTAGAACATTAAAATGTTACAAGACTTTGAAGCAGAAAATTTATTGCTAGTGCAAAGTTGTTACTGTATACGTTAGGTACTTTGAGGAGGGGAGCTGAACAGTTGCTTCATATACTACTTTAGGGGATTGGGAAAAAAGTCTTTTTAAACTGCTTCCACTATGATCTGTGGTAACGTACTTTGACTATATGAATGTAGGTTTTGAAAACAAAACAAACCAAAATAATGACCAAAAACCCCCACCCCAAACAATTTTTAAGATTCCCAATTCAATATGCCTTCCAGTAACTGCAGTCCAAACCTTCAGATTTGAGACAGTAGGTTTTCTTCATCTGAAGCCTGAGAAAGTACTGGGAAGTCAAGGATATGCTCTGTGGTCAGGCATATGGGCCTTCTAGAGCCCTGGCAGAATGGCTGGCCCTGATCTATAAAAATTGTTCAAGTGTACGATCTGGGAAACAATTCAAAGACCATATTCCTCCTTGGTGGATTTAAATAGGTTTCTAGCACAAAAAGGAAATAAAAGGGTAGATATTTGCCTCTTTTATGAGAACAGGGGTGTGGAGGGGAACAACATAGGTAAGATTCCCCCTCAAGGTTTGTCTTGTTTCTAAGAGAAACAGAGGCAGAGTTGCTTTGTTCATGGCTTTTGTAAGAGATATTTGTACGCGACTGCTATGGGTTTGTAGTTCCATTTGTATTGATAGACTGGTACAAGACCGGTACAGTGGTTGTGGCTGCTGGTAACCGCTTGAGCCATGACCACCCCGCACACAGGTAAGCAAAGCAGTGCAAGAAGAGTTTTTAAAACAAAACAGAAACAAAACACTCAGGTAACTAATAAATTGATGGGGTTTTTTTTTTCTGAACATACCTAGGATAAGTAATTAAATGCAGAACATTTACAGGATAAGAGAAACCCCCTCTACTATCAGCCAGATCCTATCTATAACAGCCCACATACCATCTTTTCTTTGTATATAACCACACAACTTTAAGCTGACAGTTAGTTCATCTTCCTGGTACCTTTGCAGCTTCAACCATGCGGGCTGTAGAATCTGCCAGAAGCTTTGCAGCAGCCAGAAGCTTCTTAGAGTTATCCATGTCTATTTCTGCTTCAGCATCTGACCTCATGGCATTGACGAGATCAGAAGTGGCTTGAGCCAGTACCCTGGCCTGCCGCACCATTTCACCTGTGGTACAGAATTATAGTTTTACTTTCCTTCTCTCTGCATTTCAGCTTTTGTTTCAAGCGTCATCTCAACAAGGTAAAAATAAAGTTACATTTGATGAAATATTCTTTTGACTTGAAAATGATACACACATAGTTCATAACTTAGAAGCTTCATAAACAAAATACTGGATTGCAATATAAATGAAGGGAATCTTTACAGTGGAGATTAAGAAAAAACAGTATTCGCATTCTAAATAGCAAGACAAAATACCCAAAAAACCCAGTACTTTAAGGTAATGTTGAATATAGCAGTTCAGGAAAACTGTCCCAGTAAAAACTAATAATGATGATTACAAACTACAGTCAGGATTTCAGTCTTAATTCTTCTGTGTAATATAAACTAAGTCAAGAATTCTGTCAGAAGAGACACAGCACCAATTAGGTGGTTTTGACTAAAAATAAGGTGTATATTTAAGATACTGGAGTAATGTTCTGGTTACAGTGAAACACAGAAATGAAACAGCAATGCTTCTGATACATACACTTTCATTCGTTCACTTATACACTTGAACTTCTCCCTAACAGACTTGAACCCAATAAACCTTTTGGCTTTCTTTAGGTTATCAAGTAATTCGTGTTTGGGTCTAAGGCCTCATTCTTTCCAAATGCTCTTAAAAAATCATGGAAAAGAACACCAAAGCAGCATTCTTCTCATTTGTAAAGATGACTTGTGGGCTTCAGAATTAAATGTCTTCTTACCTTCCTTTGGTCAAGCATAGGCAAAAAATTTTAAATTTTTCTAGCTGTTATCAGCTATTTCCTAGTATGATATTTTGTCATTAAATTTTTTACCAATAATGGCTGACTCAGCTCCCTGTCCAAACATCCCACTTGAAAAAAATCCCTTTAAGGGCCCTTTCTTACAGTATTAAGCCAGTAAACCGAACAGCAATAATAGCCTGCTTGAGCAATAATACAGCAGTCACAAGCAAGAGTTTCTCTGCTATTAGAAACTGCAACCGCAGGAGTGCAATGATAAGTTGGAAACACTGACTGGAATCCAAATGCCTTCTACTAAAAACTAAGTATTGCACAACTAGATACTTGACTGTGAACAGAAGACAAATGCTTACCAAGATCCTCTCTTTTACTGCATCCATCTTCTGTACAGAAGCTGAATGATGACAGCTAGACATAAAAGTTGACGTGCTTTCTTGTGCACATCTACAGTAATTAAGGTTCTTAGGATAGCTACAGAGCATTAGAAAACTTTTTCCACAGCTTTCAATTGGAAGATTAGGCATGGTTTAGAAAACATTCTTGTGAATGTTTTTAAAAAATTTACTCACTTAAATTTCTCATAAAGAAAATAGAAGGATCAAAATACACTGAGAATTTCACTAATTACTTCCAAGCACATGTTCCTGAAAGTTTTACTTTAAAAAAAAAAGTCATGTAACAACTAAGATGGCTCTAAAAAAAAAGATTAGTTTGCTCATATCAACTGTAACGTGAATACAACTGTGACTGAAATATTTACTTTTCTGGCCTTGCATTTATACAGCATTAAAAAAAAAGACTAAAACCATACTATTCACCATAACTGCTTTTAAAAACTCATCCCATTTTAAACTTTTCATGAAATGTCTTGATTTCAAATTGATAACTGCCCCTTCATGGTGTTCTGCCTTCATAACATTTATAGCTGTTGAAATGTCACCATTCTAACTAATTTACTGGCTCTTAACTAAACATTCATATCAGGTCAGTTAAACATGAGGTATCCTAAGTCTTGGTTGGTTCTATGAGCTGAACATTTCAGAAACATCATAGGAAGCAGAAGTAAGTTTCAAAACCTATAAAAAAGTCTAAGCATAATAAAATCAATCACTGTGCAGTATTCGCTCAGGAATTTGTCTTCATGTTTGGAGATGAGAAATTGCTACACAATTCCGTGAAGTGTTGCAGTAGTAGAAAACAAAATACTACCGTGATCCTTTAGCATGATATTGATTGCTTTCACAGAATATTCATTCTATCTAGCACATAGATGCCTGCATTTTGCTGATTTAATATTATGGGTTGAATGACTACCCACCACAATGGCACTAGCCTAGAAGCACAGTACATTTCAGAGGTTTTTTACTTGCATTATTTGAAACGTGCACATCTCCGCATCATGAAAAGCTACTGTCCATTAGAGACACTTACCAGCATCTCCCATCGAACTGAAAATACTCTCTGTAACACACATGATGGTATCTGTAGCCTGGTCATAGCGTCCAATGGGCTCTCCCCTACTCGCAAACTGACGGACATGCTGCAAGAGGTCATTCAGGGCTTGGCTGACAATGCTGGCAGCTGCACTGACCTGCTTCAGTAACTCAGTGTCATCTGTGGCAGCCTGGCAGGCCCTCACACAGTTCTCCACTGAACGGTCTACCAGTTTCCCTGCCTCAATCAGCTGTTCCTGACACACTGGAGAGCTGATGGTGGGACTCACAACCTGCACGGGGAAAGGACACAAAGCATTCAGAAAAGGTTGATGTGCAAATTTTCCAACTACTAAGAAGTGAAATATTTACTGCATTAGGTTTTAATCTTCAACTTATCTGTTTTCCCTAGACAGAAAACTCTGAAAGTGTTTAAATAGGTAGGTTCAGACATCTAGATTATGAATCTGGGCTCTTCATGTTGTTAATTTAATGTCAACTTAGATTCTGAGAATGGAGGCCCCCCCATCTTGTTTCATGCTGTTTCAGCTGAACTGAGCAAACGCGACAGTGGTTCTGGAGTGCAAGCACGGGTCAAACTCCTCCAGAGTAACTATGTCCACTGCCACATTTCTGTACTCTGGAGTTCCAAATGAAATTGGAATTGGTCTTGGAAAGCCTTCTTATTATCAATCTTTTGGTTTTTTTTTGTTGAAATAAAAGTAGTGCTTGGCACAAGCCAAACAAAGTTCTACTCCTGAAGCCACAAAGCAAGAAGTAAACCCACAGTAAATCCACAGACTAGAAACAACCCTCTTCCATTTTGTTCAGGCATATTCAGACAGCTTTTAGCAATGGGAAAACTGTGCATATCTTATGAGGAAAACAGGATGCCACTGGGTGTCTTGTGCCGTACTGAAGAAATTAACAGACAGTAAGAACATCAAGTCCAAATAATGAAAACTCATACATACGCATTACAAAAAGCCCTTGCAGTCAGAGAAATAAAGTAGAAAATACTGAAAAATTAATACTCAATATTGGTTATTAATTTTAATAGAAACTGTCTGGATGTTTCACAACAGCTGAATACCCATTTCCCTGTGAAAGATGACACTGCAGACTTCAAAAGCAGCATCCAAGTAGGAAATGTAAACTCTTTAATTTTTAAAATTAAAATAAGAATTTATTTATTTTTAAGGAAAAAAAGGGCTGCAGAAGATGTAATGCTCCAATTGCAGACTTCAGAATTTGAGGTCTGATTTCAAGTCTTTTTAAATTTGCTTAGACCGAAAATCAGTACTTGGCCAAAAGCAGTGGATCTATTGAAACAAGTAAGCAACTGTAAATTAGTGCAAATGTATTTCAAGTGATCAGTGATCACCAACTCAATTTTATTTTCAGAAAGAATATCAACTTGCAATTATTTAGTTTTACATGAGGTAAGCCCATCCTAAATCTAGGTGTTATTAGAAAACTTGCACAGTCCTACAGGCAAGCAGTGCTTCTTGAACTAATATTTCTAACTTTTTTATTTTATCAACATTAGTAATTCATCAGATGGGCTCTGTTATCTGTGTAATCTTCTCTGGAGATTACAGTAACACCCCACATCCTCTGGGCTCCTGACTGCCACTGTTATGGGTGACAATTTAGTAACCAACAACTTCAATATTTGTATTGGGTTTCCGTGGCAGCGAGGGGGTAGCTACAGGAGTGGCTCGTATAAAAGGCTGCTAGAAGCCTCCCAAACTCCAAGTCAGACCTCCCTCTGGACAAGGCTGAGCCAATCAGCAATGGTGGGAATGCCTCTGTGATAACATTTATATAAGAGGAGAAAAAACCACAACCTGCTGTGGAACCTGCAGCAGAGATAGGAGTGGGATGTGAGAGAACCAAATATGCAGGCATCAAGGTCAGTGAAAAAAGAAGGGGGAGGAGGTGCACCAGAGCAGAGATTCCCCTGCAGCCCATGGTGAGACAGCAGGCTGACCTGCCTGCAGCTAATGGAGGTTAACAGTGAAGCAGAGATCCACCTGCAGTCCATGGAGGGCCCACACCAGAGCAGGCTGGATGCCCAAAGGAGGCTGTGGCCCTGTGGGAAGCCGTGCTGGAGCAGGCTCCTTGAAGAACGTGTGGATCTGCAGAGAGATGAGCCCACACTGGAGCAGGTGGCTGCACCCAACGGCAGTCGTGACTCCGTGGGAAGCTTACACTGGAGCTGTCTGTTCCTGAAGGATGACATCCCATGGAAAGGATACATGCTGGAGCAGTTTGTCAAGAACTGCAGCCCATGGGAAGGATTCATGTTGGAAAAGCTTGTGGAGGACTGTCTCCCCTGGGAGGGACTCCACACTGGAGAAGAGGAAGAGTGTGAGGTGTCTTCCCTTTGAGGAGGAAGGAGCGGCAGAAACAATGTGTGATGAACTGACTGCAAACCCTGTTTCCTGTCCCCCTGCGCCACTGGCGAGAAGGAAGTAGAGAAATTGGGAGCAAAGTTGAACCTAGGAAGAAGGGAGGGGTGGGTAGAGTGACTTTTTAAGATCTTGTTTTATTTCTCAATACCCTACTCTGATTTGACTGGTAACAAATTAAATTTATTTTATTTTTCCCCAAGTTAAGTCTGTTTTGCCCAAGGCCATAATTGGTGAGTAACCCCTTCCTGTCCTTGTCTCAGCCCACAAGCCCTTCATTATATTTCCTCCTTGCCGTCCCACTGAGGCGAGAAGCAAGCAATCAACCACATGGCACTTAGTTGTCAGCTGAGTCTAAACCACAACAATATTGTGATATTAACACAGTATATTGCCCAAGACTGTTGGAAATACACAGAAGCATACGCTTGAAATGATGCCTTGCCAGCTCACAAACACTGCTAGCCTTACCTTCGCACACGCCACAAGCTGGGAAGTAGAGAGTGCACACTGTGTAGCAGCAGCAATGACCCTGTTCTGTAGCACTGTATCCTCAGCGACCTGCGCTACATTCTTGGCCTTCAGCACTAGCATGGCAGCAGCATTTGCAACAGCTTTGGCCAGACTCATCAGAACATCCTGGTAAAACAAAGGGAAAACTCAGTCTTATGAACAAAAAAGTATATACTTTGCTTATATTAAGATCAAGTCTCCTGAAGGCAAGAAGTTCTCCTGTATCAAATAATTAAACATTTTGTTTCGTGTAAAGCAGCAAACATGGATATTATTCAGAAAACTCAACAGTTTTCTGTTTTCAGTACAACCGTTTCTCTATATACATTATCAAGTTACTGAACTAAACCAGTATGGCCTGTTAAATTTTGAACTAGCTTAGAGTCCATAAGAACAAATCTATATCCCAAATGGCAATGTGCTTATCTTTACTTCCTGATAATACCCTATTAGTACAAAGACATCTGGAGGTCACCACTAAACTTGTGAAAAATATCTGCAATAAGCATGACAACCTCAAGGAGTAAACTGCTGAGGATAGACAGTACTTGAGTTAACACTAAATTCAAGTACTTATTGTGCTTAACAGTAATGACAACTGTTACACCGTTTTTGAAAGATCCTGCTCTAGCAAGGGGGCTGGACTAGATGATCTTCAGAAGTTCCTTCCAACCTCTACCATTCTGTGATACCTCAAACCAGGTCTTAATTCCAGAACATTTCTCCCCTCATACAAAAGTAATTTAATTAGCTCTGATACTGTGACATTAAAACACTCATGTTAATTCCTGCAGTGTAAAAGTTTAGAAAATTTCTTCTTGCTTTCTCACTTAAAATGCTACATTCCATATACTTCTGCGTTTTAATGGGATGGAGTCTCCCTAAGGCCTGTAATGTTAAAATGACCTGGCTTTTCTGTACAAAGATACTACAGATTATATACTTATGTATAATTTTAACTTCACAGCAGAAAGAAAATCTTGGATTTAAAAAATTAAAAGTACTAGTTCTCATATTGTTTTTAGAATATGAAGGCATGGTAAACCATCCCTCTCCTTACCCACCTTCTCCAACACTCCATAGCACTTCTCAGAATGTTTACGTTCATCCCTTTAACCAAGAAAGGGAGGGCTGCAATACACACTCAACTAGGAATACAAATGAGAGCTCTGAGGAATCTTGCAGACAGACTTACTAGTGGATCAAGTGTTTAAAATGGGCTGTAAGTTCTATTAGCAGACATCTTGCATACAGAGCACTCCAGAGGTCTATCTGTTGCTGTGAATTACTTAACCTTGTTCCTGGTGCAAACCTGTTCTTGGCATTGAATGAAAAAATTCAGATAGATTTTTATGCTTTTTAACAGAGCAATTGTTTTAAACTGCTAACATATAACACTGTTATTAAGTTGTATGTGCATTATGATTTGATAACTGATAATACTAATAATCTTTAAAAAATTGTTTGCAATACAGTAATTTTCTTCTACTCAGATCACCAAAAGGTTATATAGACTTTTGCTTTACAAGTACACATATAGACACAGCAAATACTTATGCGAAAATCACTATATTTAATGAGAAGAATTTCTCATTATTTATTAATAAACATTCATTAATTCTTCATAAATACATAGCATAATAGGTCAATAGCTTACTAAGACAGTGAAACACAAGGAAAAGCAAGCATTGAACTTGTCTATGTGTGTATGCAAGTTTTAATACGCTGCTTCCCACAAAATCCCTATGGTATTCAGAACGACTGATGAAGACTACACATGTCCCCCTGCAAAACTCAACTGTCATCTTGCATCTGACTCAGCGTACTTAGTGAAAATGGGCAAAGTTTTTAACAAAATGTTGTTTGCTCTTTCTTATTTTCTGTATCTGACCTGGCATCGTGCGATACAACTTGCTGCAACTGAAGCAAATGGGAACTGTGATTCAAACATATAGGCATGACACAATGTGAAGAATCTGAGAGATCAACAGGTCATAAAGTATCTCAAATTAGCAGATCTTGGACTTCCATGATGTATTTTCCATCTGTAAAGTGGAATGACGTTCCACATCCTACAGGAAAGCTATAAAAGATGTCTGTGCAACACTGAGGTACTGAGTCACCACAAAAGAAGCCAGTGATGAACACTGTGGAAAAAGTAAAAAGTAGAGTAGAATTTGAAAAGTAAGAGTCCGACCAGTATGCAAATAGCATGAGACATCTATTTTAAGTGCTGAGGGGAATACAGTGCAAACAGCTCTCCATGAAGGAAGAAAGCATCTGTACAATGCACAGAACGAGGTAGGAGTTCCCAGCAGCACTTTCTGATTGTGTAATTAAAAACAATGTCATAATGAATTAATCTCAACTAGCATTGAGAAACTTCAAATCTAGCATTTCCTAATCACACTTCGGGAAGCCTGGATTTATGCAGTGGCCAACTCGTTAGAATGCTGCACAATTCTGACAGTGACAAGCAACCCCCTCATTACCTGGAACCTTTCATCTGTTTCATTCTCTCCAATTTGTCTCAGTAGCTCCCCACTTGCTTGCCCAATGCTTCCAGCTGCAGTCAAAACTGTCTGTCGAGGCTGGAAAAATGTAACAGCGAAATACATTAATTCAAAGAATGTGAGTGCGGAGAAGCATCAACAGGCTGAAAGCCAAGGCACTGCAGAAGCTGGGATTCCCATGAGAACATTATTAAGAGAACACAAACAGCAGCTGGGATTTATACAAAGGCAATCTTTGGAAGATTGAACTGTGTTGTTGTTGAGTATAACAGGACCTTGGGCCAGCCTAGAAGTAGGAGTTCAAAACTACCCCAAGCACTGTGTGCCTGGGTTCTCTCGACCAGAACACTGGTTGAATGGTGTGTGTGGTGCATGGCAGGATATCTCGGTCTTGGAACACCTGGCCATGAAGTATGGGAATGATGGATGGGAAAGTGCTGCAGTGTGTGAGCATCCTGATTGGCTGCATAGTCAGGTCCTTCTCTGTAGCTATAAAAGCAGAGGTAGAAAATAAAAGCTCCACTTGGCATTCATCTGCTGAGCTGGTTTCTTGTTTACAGCTCACCACATATGAGCTTTACTTGAATTTTAGATTTCCTCAAGGAACTTAGGCAGTAGTGTGCAATCAATATGGCTAAAAATTTTTACAACAGAAACACTTTGGAAAAATCTTTACTTTTCCACATGCACAACTGCACATCTGTACTTCAGAGGTTTCATCTGAAGTGCTCCCAGACAATGTGTAAAGAACTTTGAAGAACTTGAATAGACATTGTTGTAATAACTCCAAGGATAATTAAGAATAGACAGTCAATATGACAATTGGTCTGAAACATCAGGAGATGTCACGTTCTTCAAAACATAAATATCTGAAGAGATCTAAGGCAAACTGGCTGCAGACTCCAATCCATAAAAAACCGATCAAGATAGTCTATCCTGGTCAATACTACTCTCATTTCTGGAAAACTATAACAGAGGGATTAACTTCACATTTTATATGTCAAAGTAGATAAAAATAGTAAAGCAAAAAAATCAGGAATTAGTATCTTTCAATTTTCCTATTAAACTGAATTAGAGTACTGTCTGAAATTTATTTCTGTAAGAGAATACAGTAGCCAGATGAATTAACTACTCATTACACAAATCAATTAACCTCTGTATATAACAGAACATTGTAATATCAAGGTGCAAGAGTTAAAGGACTAAAGTCAGAGACAGGTGAAGGAGTAAGAAAGAGTCAGAAGAACTGCTTGCACAGGTGACATTATGTGGCACTGAGCAGGTGAGGCTTTGAAGCTAACATGTCTCAGAAAAGCCAGAGCCATGCACTTGAAAGAGGGAACCTGAGAATTTTTCATCCACTCACCTCTCCTGAAGTAGGTTGCACAGCCTTCAGCAAGTCTGAGACAGCACTGGCCAACGTGCGAGCAGCTTTCAAGAGGTCTTCTCCACTTCCAACTTCATCATCCATGAGTGCAGCAAGCAGTTTCACACCTTTAGACATCTCCGTGAGGTTGGAAGAGATAGTTGTAATTGCACATCCCACAGCAGTGTAATCAGTGTCAACTGGGTCCCCTGCAGAGCAAATGTTTTTTCCATGGTCAGAATGCTTTAGCGGTTAATAGGGGGAAAAAAGGCAGCTACTACAAGCTGAACTCTGGTGAGAGACTTAAGAGACATTTCAAGATAGTCAAGCAATGCCTACTAAGTAATTATA